AGGCTGGATGTCCCACATCTCTATGTTTGCTCCTCTTGTAGCTGAATTCTCCAGATGTTTTGGTTTCTTCAGGCACTTAATCTTGCTCCTTAGGTATGGAGCACCAGTGAAGTTATCTGCGGTCATTTGTCAAATGAAAACCAACTGCCCCGTGCAGCCATTAATGCCATTGATTTTGAAAAGAGAATTATTTGTGGTGGTTAACCTTGGGCACGCCTGACCGAGCACCATTCCACACCGGTGAGCTTGGATTTCCTTGGCAATTTGTAGGTTGTAATGAGCCTGAAGGACTAAGGTTTCCTGTGGCTGGGGGAGCTACTAATGGCATAACTTGGAGCCTGTAGGCTTTTTCATCTCTTTCAGGAGACAGATGAAATAGGTTCTTGTCCTTTAAAGATTCTCTTTGCTTTTGAGGTAAACCTTTAACTCTTTTTGCCCCAGTGATGATCAAGGGAGTTGAGGAGCAGTGCATCCAGTGTGTGCATTAACAAAACACTCAGAGATTGTGGTTGGCTGAAGTTTTGCAGTGACTTCAAAGGCTCAGTCTGTGCTCAGTAGGTGGATTAGAAGGGTGGCTGGAGGGTGTGGATAAGTTGAGTGTGCCTGTGCTAACTAAAAATCTCCAGAGCTAGGAAAGGAAAGGCCTAGAGGCCAAGCACTGGCACTGAGCTTGGAAAACCAGAGTATGGCAAAAGTTAGTGTTTCAGTAACCAGGAGGAGGGTGATATTGGTGCTTTTGGGCTGTGAGTAGCTTCTAAACCACGGGTTTCTAAAACATGTCATTGCTTAGCAAAGAATCAGCTGTTTTTCTTTTTGACTTTGAGTGTTTTGGGGTGTTTTTTCCCCCATAAGGTGTAGTTGTTGCTGCTGGAAAAACTGTTGTGTTTCAAATGGAAACAGGAGCTGGGAGTGAGAAGAGGAAGAGAACAGCGGGAATGGAAAGCAAATTGGTAAATTCAGGCTGCTGTTGTGACGTGTTTATGGTGTGTGAGTCGGCCCTATGGAGCCTGATTAGCACGTTCCCAGCAGACAGGGCTGTTTGCACAGTGGGAGGAATGGCAGAATGAACGTGGGCTTGCTGTGGATGCCGTGTGCTGAAAAAGCCTGAGCAGGGGGCAATCATCACGCTGTGTTTAATGAATCCGGTAGTGGCCATGCTTTTGCAGGGAGATCAAAAGCAGAAGCAAAGAGCTGTTGTGGTTCTGAGCCTTTTCAAGATGCATCGGATTGAACTTTGATTAAACAGAAAGAAAAACATCAATTACAAATCCCCCTTGTCTGATGCTCTGTGTTTCAGCCCTTAGTTAAAAACAACCAGCTACAAATAGGATAAGAAATATTAATACTGGAAATAGGGTCTCTAATTACCGGAGGAGCGAGGGTGTTGCATATCTTTTCTTTAAGGTCAGAACTAACTATCATGCAGTGAAGAGCTGATGAAAGAAGGACTTAGATGTATTTTTCATAGCAGAAATAGGAAGGGATACCCTGCAGAATCCTCTTTAGCACTTTGTCCTTTTTGGACGCGGCGAGTTTGAGAAGGTACAGAAGCTGAAGAATGGAAGGGCTGTGTGAGCATCACCCCCTCTGCACATGTCAGGAACACCAGGCTGCAGCTGCCCTGTAAATAGTTGCTAAAGATCCATTTTAACTTAATGAAGTCACTTGTTACTCAGCACATGGCACAGCTCCGAAAATTGAGTAATGATTGATCTGAGCTGTGTGTTAATTTCTTCATGCTCTTGTCGTTCCTCCTGCCCATGTCCTGAACACCATTAGGTGTCCTTGGATCCTATTTTAGGAGCTACTCTTAGAAATGAGTCAGAGCAAATGGCTGGAGCGTTGGTTTTTTTTTTTAAAGAAAAGTGTTGCAAGGCCTTTAAAAGCACGTCTGTCATTATCAGAAGGAGCAGTGTTGATTAAAGGGGACTGGTGTGATGCCTTAGAGCAGGCTCTGAGCTGCACGATTCCTGCAGGTGCTGGTGTGGCACAGCCTGGTGTTCTGTGTAAGGGAAACCAGAGAAGCTGCGCAGTAGCTCTTTGTAGGAGGGCACATTACATTGTTTCTGTGATAAATGGTAGCACCAGCAGTGACAAATTTTCCTTGTGGCAAAACGCTGGGGAAAATTGATGACTGAGCTGGGGAAACGCATGTGGCAATTGTCATCCAGGTTTTATCTGGCAGCTGGAGCTGGAGTGTAACATGTTATGATGAGTGACCAGGAGTTGAGTAAAATTTTCCTGTATAATGAGAGTGTGATTTAGGTGCATTTGATTTGACAGAGATGGAGCTGTGTGAATCCAGCAGATGCAAGGCTTGTAGTGGAAGTACTGGTGAAACATCCCGAGGTAGGCTCAAGAGGATATTGTAAAAGCAGGGACTGTGACCTGCCCCTTGGACAGTGCTTCATCCCTTAGTTGCAGAACTAAGTGTACTGCAAAATCTGGATGTACTGTATCAAGAACCTTCTTCGTGACACCTTCTGTTTTCTAAGAAGTTTCACGTTATTTGAAGGAACAGTCTCTGTTTATTAGATTGTGCAAATAGGAGAGTCATTCTGTCCTTACCATGGAGCTTCCATCACAGTATTCCAGAGACAGAGGAGATTGTATCCTCAGAGGTGCCACTTTTGGCAGTTTACATTAATCCCAGACATATTTTTATGAAATGGGAAAATGATAACATTTCTTAGCTATGAACGAATATAATTTCAGTAGAAAACACTCAGTACCTCTTTTCAGAGGAAGTATAGAGCTGTTAGAGCTCTTTGAAGGAGCAGATTGAGAACAATGATCTGCTTGTTGTGGTGTTTGTATTTTCAAGAGATTGAAAAAAGCCTTTCACTGAAGACTCCTAAAATATCCAATCTGTTACAGAATAAGCATTTGTAGGTGAATGTCACCAAGGTATCCATTCTAAATAAAAGGGTAACACCCCCAGACAGTGACAGGTATTACTGACCAGATTTCACCATTAGTGTAACTAGGACTCGTAGCATTTCCTGTGTTCATAACTGACCTGGAAAAATTACTGAGTCAGGGAGGAAACAGTTGGAGTTACTCCAGAGTGTTGAAATTACACTGTTGCTGTGAATGTCAGGGGTTCTAGAAAGTACCATGAATGAACAATACAATGCTAGATGGAACTCAAAACCAGGGGAACGCGGTCCTGACTAGCTGTATGTGTTGATGGGTTTTAAAATAGCCATTATTGCTTATGAAAATATTTTTGAATAATTTGGGATAATTCTTAAAGTATCAGCTTAGTGGTTAGGTAGCTTGCAAAAGAATGATAAAGGTTAGGAATTACTTGTGAAAAGACCATAGAATGCAACATGCCACTCATGGAGTACACAGCCTGAAGGGAAGGGCAGAGTGCACAGGGTGGATACAGGGCTGTGTTAGAGCTGGGAAGGTGCAGACAGGGGAGCTCAGCAGTGTTGAACACCCTGCACGGAGCAGAGGGAGGTGCCAAGGCCCGTTTGCTTCGTGGAAAGGCCAAACGAGGAGAGCATGGCAGGTGGCTATGAAATTCAGGGCTGTTGAGGGAGATTAATGAGGACATAAATGTTGTATGAGAATGAAGAGTATCCATTGATGTTTCATGTCTTCTGAATGCTGAAAGCCAGTGAAATGCCAGAGTGGGGCTCCGTGTGGGAATGCTGTATCATCCCAGATCGGTCAGGGCTGGCTTGGTGCCTCCTGCCTGCCTTGTGCATACCCATCCTACTCCTCTTCCAAACAACATGCTTGGAGGTCTTTGGGAAGAGAGCTGGGAGTGCACCTACAGCAGCCTGTTACAGTGCACCACATTTCACTGTTACCTTTCTGAACCGGCTGTGCCACCTTCTATTTATCAGCTGCTAAAATTACTGCTTTTTATGACTGTCACTGGGAGCTCTAAAGCATGAATGAGTTCCTGGAGTGAAAAGGACAACAGATCCTCGTTGGCTTTAAGTGCTCCTGTAGTGATCATTGATGATCAGTTGTTGAGTGTCCTAGTTCATAAATACTGTGGAGATTCCATGGGTGCTTTATCATTGCATGTCAATATTAAAAATGCATTAGGCCAGCTTTTTATTTAGCTTTATTTTGCATTACAGATGATCACAATCTCGAATACTGTATCCTTAAGTACATGACTGAAGCTAAATTTATATCAACACTGTGTTCTGCAGAGCACTAACACTCTTGCAAAACCAGGAACTCACTTGGCATCTTCTCAAACACTTCGAGAAACAGAGTGGCAACCTTTAACTTCTGCTTGTAACATAGATTCTTTCTTTTCCGTGTCTTAATCTAATTAAATTATTTCTCTCTCATGTTACAATGAACTTGCCAGCAGTGCTGATAATGCATTTCATAAGCAGGAGCAATTGCAAAGATATGTCTTCATGTGTAATTGATGTTAACAAGACTGTCAGCTCTCTTTAGTCTAAGTTCTGTTGTTGTTCATGAGCAGGAGGAGGGAGGTTTCTTTGTCAGTAGTCTCATCTACCCAGTGGCCTAATGCAAGGGGCAGTGACTACAGTGATAACCTGTGTTTTGCACGTGATTTGTCTCCAAAAAGCTCTGGACTGTCTTCAGCTGCTCCTTGGGACTGTTCAGCGTGTGATACTCAGAACACTCCTGGAGGGAGGGTTCTCCATCACCTGGTGCTTTGGTCAAGTTGATCTCCTCCCCTCCATCCCTGGCTGTGGCTAATTAAAAATGTCCCCATTTCAGGACAGTGAAGTTCTAGATCCTCTTGGCTGGCAGTGTCTTTCATGGTTTCAAAATCACTCCCTTAAAATTAATCCCACTGAATTCCATAACATTGTTTCTGTCCTTACCACGGGATTAATATTTGGATTTCTGATCAGTTTGAATTTCGCACTTTCTTAAGAGACTTTAATACAGTTAAGCACTTCTGTAAACAGTTCCAGCAAATACATTAATCATTTCCAAAGTACAAAAGAGTAATGCAGCTAAGCTGGACTCTCCCTTTCCCTCTTCTCTACAGATTGAGCTTCCTCGGGTTTCTGTGCCTCTTGACATTGAAAGAAGGTGAAGGTGACTGGAGAGCTGCTCTCTGTGGAAGCCTCATTCCTCCTCTCAGAAAGCACCTGTCCTACCTGAGGTAAATGGTGAAATAACAAGAGGAAAAAGTGACCTTATGTTATACCAACGAGATGTAGTTATGTGTTTAAATCCATTCTTGATGGTATTGCTGCACAGCAGGTTTGCATTTCCCGTATTTCTGCCTCATACTTCTCTCTGGGGTGCAAATTTGATCTTGGGAAGCATCAGATGGTTCAAACTATTGGTAAGCAAAGGCAGCACGGAGAGAATGGTGTTTCTCATCTGCCAGCCCCTCTACAAAATCAGCAGTGATCCTGGAAAAGAAATTCCCTCAGGAGAGGAGACCAGCCTTTGAAAGGGAGACTGTGACACAAGGGAAAGGAGGGAAAGGGAGACAGGATTTGGGTCCAAAGGTTGCAATGAAAGAGATGAATGAATCAAGAAGGGTGGCTCTTGCCAATCGGTGTTTGAGTGAACATTCTTAGACTGAGGAAAATCCTCTGCAAGAAGAGTATTAAAGTAAATTTTTTACATCTCTAAGTCAGTTGTTAACCTGAATGTGGCGAGACTATCACTCCTCAGAGATAACTGTGGTACTGAGAGCAGGGGAGGAGGAGGTGGCTGCCTGTTTCCTTAACCCATTCCTGCTGCTGTGACCCAGCCATGGGTGTCACATAGAGGTGATTTAGGATCATTTGATGTTGCCTTGCTTGCAATGATCCTAGAAGGACAATAGTTCATCCCCTCTTGCCAGAGCACCTTTGCCAGTGCATGTAGGTGCTACCAAAGCTGTTTGTGATTGGTGCCTGGTGGATTTGGGGATTTCTTCTTTATCTTAAGGTTTAAGTGATTCCACGTCAGGGTTATGCAGTGAGTGCCAGTGTGAGTGCAAGCTTGGTTTCCCTGCTCTTTGAAATATTGGGTCAAGCTGTGTGCAGTAAAATAGGTAAATGTGGAAAAGTGTTAATAACCCCCAACCTATGAACCCTTAGAGTACTTAGACTTTTGAAGGGTTTAATTTGTATTATTAAAAGAGGGCTTGTTTCAGTCCAAGTCATAAGTATTGGAACTTAGTAAATCAGTTCTGTACACATCCTACCCCTTAAGGAAGATGTAAGCCTGGTAGCTGCCTTGTTCTTGAGGCCAGTAAAGAGGAATAAGGATACAACAGATAATGTTGCACAGGTAATTATATGAGCAACTTATTTGTAGAAGATTGCCACTAAAGTTAAAGAATTTTAGACACCTAATAATGCTTTACATGTATTCATTACTTGATGATTAGTTGAAGCTTCAATATGAAAGGTAAGCCTGAATTACATTTACCTGAATGCTGCTTACAAGACAGGAATCTGTCTTTTTATTTGGTTCTGTTTTCGAGCAATCCAAGATTATTTTGTAAAGGGAACAAGGTAGAAGAAAGAGGAAAAATTATTCCTGCTCCAGTCTGTTGCAGTTGAAATACATTTTTATTTCTTTAGGGAAGCAACTCTATGCAAATAAAAACTACTGGCAGTATAGTAGCCAAAATAAAACAGCAAGCACTAAGTCAAGCAGGAAAGTTGTAAAGCAGTGTTCCATTGCTGAATGTTAAATATTCAAATAAACATTGTAAAAACTTCAGGAAGACTTTATGGGGCCACAGGTGCTCGGTGTAAAATCATTTGAGTTCTGCTATGAAACTGCAGCGATTGTTCAACATATTCTTATCACTCCAAGCTGAAAGTGAGTATCTGAAGGGAGGGGAGTGCTTAAGCTGGTACATATGTCTAATCCATCTCTGAAACTGCCTGTGTCCTGCTGTTTTCCCTACCCCACCTTTGCATACAGAATCAAGACAGTGATTAAGTGCACAGAACACTGAGGACATTGGTAAAATGGGCACAGACATCCGTCAGTACGTGGATGAAGGAGACAGTTTGTTTCCCCCCTTGTGTGCTGTTACTGCCCTGGGTGTGTGGATGTGTGTGTTGCTAAGAACCAGAGAACTAAGGAGGCTCTGTAATGGGAGGACTGCGTGGGCAAAAAAATTGCTAGACTGCCTGCAAAAATATGGAAGAGAAAGGCAGATTTAATAATAATAGCAGGGGAAAAAAAGGGCTTAACATTAATCTACGGATTTTCCCCTAGATTAGTTTCTTTTTTTATAGCTGAAATGTATTAATAGAAAAGGCCCCTTTAGGAAAGATTTCAGTGGAAGAATTAGTGGAATTTGAAACATTTGAAGAGCTGGCCTTATTCTCTAATGGCCCAGTGTTCTGTGGCGTTGTGCTTCTGTTGCTGCAAGTAGACTCCTCTAGTAATGAACAGCAGGGAGTGATTTGGGAGGTGGTGGTCAACGTGCCTGTGGTGAGCAAAACTCACAGAGCTTAGTTCTGTGGGAAGGAGTTGCTGGGAAATGTATTGACAGATACAGGAACTGTCATGTGTTCAGATATTTCTTGGGTTTCTTCTCACTTTGTTCTGCAAACAGTCTCATTGAAATTAATGGGACTGTTTTACAGAAAAAAATCAGTAGGGGTGAGAGTGGCAGAACCAGGCTGGCACACTCAGAGGTAGATGGACAAGGTGCTAGAAATTAAAAATCCCTGTTAAGCAGTCTCAAGATCGGATTTGTTAATCAGCATGTGTCTATTCATCCCACTGTACGTGGGGGATGGCTGGGAGAGAAGACCAGCAATGGGTTGACTTGTAGCACCTTGATGTTCTTTACCACAGAATCGGGTGGCTTATCTAGATAACCTGAGCCTACTCAATTAGGACACCTATAAAGCTAATCTGGATGCAGGTAAAGGGAGATGTGGACTTTATAACAAGGATACTGTGGAATCTTAATTTTCAGCTGAGATATTAAACTCTCCAAACCCAGTAATAGTTGGTGAAACAGCAGCTCAGGGTAGAAAATGTTCCAGAGAGAAATTGTACAGGCATGATTCAACCACAGCTATTGCAGTACAGTTACTTAGTCAGCTATTTCTGTAGTCCAGTAATTGCTTTACTAGTTCTTTTAAGAGTTTGGTTTAGCTTTAAATAAACTGAATAGAGGGAGGATGGGAATCCTTAAGTATAATCAGTGTTTTATTTCAAGAACTAAATCACACCTTGTATTTGTTGTGCAGGACCTGAGTTACAGGCTGATACCTAATTTGTCTTGTGTTTTTTGGGTTTGGCTCACACAAAGGTTTCTGTTGACAGAAAATAAATGGTCTTGTGGAAAAGATGTGCACTTGGGACTTCAAGATCCATGCTCAGTTCTTAGCTCAGTGCCAGTATTCCTTGAAATCACTTAATCTGGATGTGTTTCCCATCTGTTCTGCTTTTCTAGGTGGCAAGCTTTTGTGACCATGTTTGCATACAGATGAATACAGGGGATCCTGAAGGTTCCTCAGAGCCTCCTGTTGCTGTTGAAATGTTTGTGCCAGCGAAATTAATTCCAGGTTTATGTCTTTAAGTGATTAGATCTTAATTATATGCAAGTGTGTATTCTTCATTTGCAAGGAATGGTGGGGAGCATTTACAAATGTGAAGAAGGACTGATTGAACAATCATGAGGGGAATGATTTAAGGAGAGCAAATTGTGTGCTTACAGAGGGCTTCTTATAGGAGGAAGCAGAGCAGAAGAGTTTGGAGTCTCCCATTTCAGCTGTTTATGTCCTTGTGACTTTGCAGTTTAATTTTCCAGCCGTGATGGCCTGGTTAGACAAGCCCAGACCTCTTCCTGAGTACGGGATGCTGGAGTGCAGTGATGCAGAAGGCTGGGTTGGAGTGGAAGGGGTTAGTTATATATCAAAACCAATCATTTCTAGTAATGAGGAGTCCCAAGGAGTTTGTTCTGGCAATTAAAATGGTTGTAGCTGCACTTTCCTGGGCTCGTTAGAGAAAGATGCATCTTTTGCCTGATATCAGTTGACAAAGCTCTGGTTATATCTGCCCTCTCAGATAAGCTGATCATTTAAACTTGAGAATCCCAAGTATCCTTGAATTAAAGCCACAGACTTTTACTTTAGTTACTAGGGAGAAAGAAAATAAAATCTCAGAAATTTGTCTTGATATCCTACTGCATTTCTTGATTGACCCCTTCCCAGTCCCTGCCTTTGGTTCTAGATCGTGCAGAAGCACAGCTGACCTTTGATCTCATCTGGTGTGAGAACTGCTGGCTTTAAATTAAGTTCTTCCTGGAACAGACATCCTGTACTGCACAGCTTTATTTAAATCCAGTTTATTTGAAGGCAGATGGTATTTTAAATGTACTCATTAGGTACTAGGACTGCGTGGTGTGCACATGCCTTGGCACACTGCCTTTCTGATCTGTCTTAAAAAGCTGTTCAAAATATATATTCATCAGTTTGTTGTGCCCTTGCCTCCCCTCATGCCTGCAAAGATGTGATTTGTGGTTTTGTCATGGGGTAATGGGAAGCAGTGGTTGCTAAAATTACTGGCCATACTTGTAAAGTTACTATTAGAAATCTAGGCAAAAGTTTGTAGACTACTCACACAGTGAAGCACAGCTTCTATCTCATTTGATTTAGGTTTCAGAGGCTCCCAGTAGCAGAGACACCTTTCCTAGGTGTGCTTTTCCTTGTTTCCTTTAGCCCAGTTACAGGAAAAATCAGTTTTCTGCTAACATAACTAAAAGCCTCTACCTCAGTTCTGTCCTTTGCTTTCAGAGTTCTGTACAAAACCCTGTCTGTAGGTTTACAAAATCACAGAATATGCCAAGGGAACGCTGAGGATCATCAAGTCCAACACTTAGCCCTGCACAGGACCATCCCCAAGAGTTGGGTGAGAGGATCATCCAAATGCTCCTTGAGCTCTGTCAGTCCTGGTGCTGTGCCCACTGCCCTGGGGAGCCTGTTCATGTACAAACACCCTCTGGGGGAAGAACCTTTTCCTAATATCCAACCTAACCCTGCTCTGACACAACTTAAGGCCATTCCCTTGGGTCCTGTCACTGAGAAGAGCTCCCTGCCGGCCCTTCCTCTTCCCCTCACAAGGAAGTTGTAACTGCAGTGAGGTCTCCCCTCAGTCTTCTGTTGGCTGAACACACCAAGTGCCCTC